TCCACCGGTACCACTACCTACCCAGTCTCCCACACCACTGAAGAAGAATTGACTACTTCTACTTACACTTCCACCGACTCTGAAGGTAATGTTACCACCGGTACCACTACCTACCCAGTTTCCCACACCAGTGAAGAAGAATTGACTACTTCTACTTACACTTCCACCGACTCTGAAGGTAATGTTACCACCGGTACCACTACCTACCCAGTCTCCCACACCACTGAAGAAGAATTGACTACTTCTACTTACACTTCCACCGACTCTGAAGGTAATGTTACCACCGGTACTACCACCTACCCAGTCTCCCACACCACTGAAGAAGAATTGACTACTTCTACTTACACTTCCACCGACTCTGAAGGTAATGTTACCACCGGTACCACTACCTACCCAGTCTCCCACACCACTGAAGAAGAATTGACTACTTCTACTTACACTTCCACCGACTCTGAAGGTAATGTTACCACCGGTACCACTACCTACCCAGTCTCCCACACCACTGAAGAAGAATTGACTACTTCTACTTACACTTCCACCGACTCTGAAGGTAATGTTACAACCGGTACCACTACCTACCCAGTCTCCCACACCAGTGAAGAAGAATTGACTACTTCTACTTACACTTCCACCGACTCTGAAGGTAATGTTACCACCGGTACCACTACCTACCCAGTCTCCCACACCACTGAAGAAGAATTGACTACTTCTACTTACACTTCCACCGACTCTGAAGGTAATGTTACCACCGGTACTACCACCTACCCAGTCTCCCACACCACTGAAGAAGAATTGACTACTTCTACTTACACTTCCACCGACTCTGAAGGTAATGTTACCACCGGTACCACTACCTACCCAGTCTCCCACACCACTGAAGAAGAATTGACTACTTCTACTTACACTTCCACCGACTCTGAAGGTAATGTTACAACCGGTACCACTACCTACCCAGTCTCCCACACCAGTGAAGAAGAATTGACTACTTCTACTTACACTTCCACCGACTCTGAAGGTAATGTTACCACCGGTACCACTACCTACCCAGTCTCCCACACCAGTGAAGAAGAATTGACTACTTCTACTTACACTTCCACCGACTCTGAAGGTAATGTTACCACCGGTACCACTACCTACCCAGTCTCCCACACCACTGAAGAAGAATTGACTACTTCTACTTACACTTCCACCGACTCTGAAGGTAATGTTACCACCGGTACCACTACCTACCCAGTCTCCCACACCACTGAAGAAGAATTGACTACTTCTACTTACACTTCCACCGACTCTGAAGGTAATGTTACCACCGGTACCACTACCTACCCAGTCTCCCACACCACTGAAGAAGAATTGACTACTTCTACTTACACTTCCACCGACTCTGAAGGTAATGTTACCACCGGTACCACTACCTACCCAGTCTCCCACACCAGTGAAGAAGAATTGACTACTTCTACTTACACTTCCACCGACTCTGAAGGTAATGTTACCACCGGTACCACTACCTACCCAGTCTCCCACACCAGTGAAGAAGAATTGACTACTTCTACTTACACTTCCACCGACTCTGAAGGTAATGTTACCACCGGTACCACTACCTACCCAGTCTCCCACACCAGTGAAGAAGAATTGACTACTTCTACTTACACTTCCACCGATTCTGAAGGTAATGTTACCACCGGTACCACTACCTACCCAGTCTCCCACACCAGTGAAGAAGAATTGACTACTTCTACTTACACTTCCACCGACTCTGAAGGTAATGTTACCACCGGTACCACTACCTACCCAGTCTCCCACACCAGTGAAGAAGAATTGACTACTTCTACTTACACTTCCACCGACTCTGAAGGTAATGTTACCACCGGTACCACTACCTACCCAGTCTCCCACACCACTGAAGAAGAATTGACTACTTCTACTTACACTTCCACCGACTCTGAAGGTAATGTTACCACCGGTACCACTACCTACCCAGTCTCCCACACCAGTGAAGAAGAATTGACTACTTCTACTTACACTTCCACCGATTCTGAAGGTAATGTTACCACCGGTACCACTACCTACCCAGTCTCCCACACCACTGAAGAAGAATTGACTACTTCTACTTACACTTCCACCGACTCTGAAGGTAATGTTACCACCGGTACCACTACCTACCCAGTTTCCCACACCAGTGAAGAAGAATTGACTACTTCTACTTACACTTCCACCGACTCTGAAGGTAATGTTACCACCGGTACCACTACCTACCCAGTCTCCCACACCACTGAAGAAGAATTGACTACTTCTACTTACACTTCCACCGACTCTGAAGGTAATGTTACCACCGGTACCACTACCTACCCAGTCTCCCACACCACTGAAGAAGAATTGACTACTTCTACTTACACTTCCACCGACTCTGAAGGTAATGTTACCACCGGTACCACTACCTACCCAGTCTCCCACACCACTGAAGAAGAATTGACTACTTCTACTTACACTTCCACCGACTCTGAAGGTAATGTTACCACCGGTACCACTACCTACCCAGTCTCCCACACCACTGAAGAAGAATTGACTACTTCTACTTACACTTCCACCGACTCTGAAGGTAATGTTACAACCGGTACCACTACCTACCCAGTCTCCCACACCAGTGAAGAAGAATTGACTACTTCTACTTACACTTCCACCGACTCTGAAGGTAATGTTACCACCGGTACCACTACCTACCCAGTCTCCCACACCACTGAAGAAGAATTGACTACTTCTACTTACACTTCCACCGACTCTGAAGGTAATGTTACCACCGGTACCACTACCTACCCAGTCTCCCACACCACTGAAGAAGAATTGACTACTTCTACTTACACTTCCACCGACTCTGAAGGTAATGTTACCACCGGTACCACTACCTACCCAGTCTCCCACACCACTGAAGAAGAATTGACTACTTCTACTTACACTTCCACCGACTCTGAAGGTAATGTTACCACCGGTACCACTACCTACCCAGTCTCCCACACCACTGAAGAAGAATTGACTACTTCTACTTACACTTCCACCGATTCTGAAGGTAATGTTACCACCGGTACCACTACCTACCCAGTCTCCCACACCACTGAAGAAGAATTGACTACTTCTACTTACACTTCCACCGACTCTGAAGGTAATGTTACCACCGGTACCACTACCTACCCAGTCTCCCACACCAGTGAAGAAGAATTGACTACTTCTACTTACACTTCCACCGACTCTGAAGGTAATGTTACCACCGGTACCACTACCTACCCAGTCTCCCACACCAGTGAAGAAGAATTGACTACTTCTACTTACACTTCCACCGACTCTGAAGGTAATGTTACCACCGGTACCACTACCTACCCAGTCTCCCACACCACTGAAGAAGAATTGACTACTTCTACTTACACTTCCACCGACTCTGAAGGTAATGTTACCACCGGTACCACTACCTACCCAGTCTCCCACACCACTGAAGAAGAATTGACTACTTCTACTTACACTTCCACCGACTCTGAAGGTAATGTTACCACCGGTACCACTACCTACCCAGTCTCCCACACCACTGAAGAAGAATTGACTACTTCTACTTACACTTCCACCGACTCTGAAGGTAATGTTACCACCGGTACTACCACCTACCCAGTCTCCCACACCACTGAAGAAGAATTGACTACTTCTACTTACACTTCCACCGACTCTGAAGGTAATGTTACCACCGGTACCACTACCTACCCAGTCTCCCACACCACTGAAGAAGAATTGACTACTTCTACTTACACTTCCACCGACTCTGAAGGTAATGTTACCACCGGTACCACTACCTACCCAGTCTCCCACACCACTGAAGAAGAATTGACTACTTCTACTTACACTTCCACCGACTCTGAAGGTAATGTTACCACCGGTACCACTACCTACCCAGTCTCCCACACCAGTGAAGAAGAATTGACTACTTCTACTTACACTTCCACCGACTCTGAAGGTAATGTTACCACCGGTACCACTACCTACCCAGTCTCCCACACCACTGAAGAAGAATTGACCACTTCTACTTACACTTCCACCGACTCTGAAGGTAATGTTACCACCGGTACCACTACCTACCCAGTCTCCCACACCACTGAAGAAGAATTGACTACTTCTACTTACACTTCCACCGACTCTGAAGGTAATGTTACCACCGGTACCACTACCTACCCAGTCTCCCACACCAGTGAAGAAGAATTGACTACTTCTACTTACACTTCCACCGACTCTGAAGGTAATGTTACCACCGGTACCACTACCTACCCAGTCTCCCACACCACTGAAGAAGAATTGACTACTTCTACTTACACTTCCACCGACTCTGAAGGTAATGTTACCACCGGTACCACTACCTACCCAGTCTCCCACACCACTGAAGAAGAATTGACTACTTCTACTTACACTTCCACCGACTCTGAAGGTAATGTTACCACCGGTACCACTACCTACCCAGTCTCCCACACCACTGAAGAAGAATTGACTACTTCTACTTACACTTCCACCGACTCTGAAGGTAATGTTACCACCGGTACCACTACCTACCCAGTCTCCCACACCAGTGAAGAAGAATTGACTACTTCTACTTACACTTCCACCGACTCTGAAGGTAATGTTACCACCGGTACCACTACCTACCCAGTCTCCCACACCACTGAAGAAGAATTGACTACTTCTACTTACACTTCCACCGACTCTGAAGGTAATGTTACCACCGGTACCACTACCTACCCAGTCTCCCACACCACTGAAGAAGAATTGACTACTTCTACTTACACTTCCACCGACTCTGAAGGTAATGTTACCACCGGTACCACTACCTACCCAGTCTCCCACACCAGTGAAGAAGAATTGACTACTTCTACTTACACTTCCACCGACTCTGAAGGTAATGTTACCACCGGTACCACTACCTACCCAGTCTCCCACACCACTGAAGAAGAATTGACTACTTCTACTTACACTTCCACCGACTCTGAAGGTAATGTTACCACCGGTACCACTACCTACCCAGTCTCTCACACCAGTGAAGAAGAAGTCACCACTTCTACTTACACTTCCACCGACTCTGAAGGTAATGTTACCACCGGTACCACTACCTACCCAGTCTCTCACACTTCTGAAGAAGAATTGACTACTTCTACTTACACTTCCACCGACTCTGAAGGTAATGTTACCACCGGTACCACTACCTACCCAGTCTCTCACACTTCTGAAGAAGAAGTCACCACTTCTACTTACACTTCCACCGACTCTGAAGGTAATGTTACCACTGGTACCACTACCTACCCAGTCTCTCACACCAGTGAAGAAGAAGTCACCACTTCTACTTACACTTCCACCGACTCTGAAGGTAATGTTACCACCGGTACCACTACCTACCCAGTCTCTCACACCAGTGAAGAAGAAGTCACCACTTCTACTTACACTTCCACCGACTCTGAAGGTAATGTTACCACCGGTACCACTACCTACCCAGTCTCTCACACCAGTGAAGAAGAATTGACTACTTCTACTTACACTTCCACCGACTCTGAAGGTAATGTTACCACCGGTACCACTACCTACCCAGTCTCTCACACCAGTGAAGAAGAATTGACTACTTCTACTTACACTTCCACCGACTCTGAAGGTAATGTTACCACCGGTACCACTACCTACCCAGTCTCTCACACCAGTGAAGAAGAAGTCACCACTTCTACTTACACTTCCACCGACTCTGAAGGTAATGTTACCACCGGTACCACTACCTACCCAGTCTCTCACACCAGTGAAGAAGAAGTCACCACTTCTACTTACACTTCCACCGACTCTGAAGGTAATGTTACCACCGGTACCACTACCTACCCAGTCTCTCACACCAGTGAAGAAGAATTGACTACTTCTACTTACACTTCCACCGACTCTGAAGGTAATGTTACCACCGGTACCACTACCTACCCAGTATCTCACACTTCTGAAGAAGAAGTCACCACTTCTACTTACACTTCCACCGACTCTGAAGGTAATGTTACCACCGGTACCACTACCTACCCAGTCTCTCACACCAGTGAAGAAGAAGTCACCACTTCTACTTACACTTCCACTGACTCTGAAGGTAATGTTACCACCGGTACCACTACCTACCCAGTCTCTCACACCAGTGAAGAAGAATTGACTACTTCTACTTACACTTCCACCGACTCTGAAGGTAATGTTACCACCGGTACCACTACCTACCCAGTCTCTCACACCAGTGAAGAAGAAGTCACCACTTCTACTTACACTTCCACCGACTCTGAAGGTAATGTTACCACCGGTACCACTACCTACCCAGTCTCTCACACCAGTGAAGAAGAATTGACTACTTCTACTTACACTTCCACCGACTCTGAAGGTAATGTTACCACTGGTACCACTACCTACCCAGTCTCTCACACCAGTGAAGAAGAATTGACAACTTCTACTTACATTTCCACCGACTCTGAAGGTAATGTTACCACCGGTACCATTACCTACCCAGTCTCTCACACCAGTGAAGAAGAATTGACTACTTCTACTTACACTTCCACCGACTCTGAAGGTAATGTTACCACCGGTACCACTACCTACCCAGTCTCTCACACCAGTGAAGAAGAAGTCACCACTTCTACTTACACTTCCACCGACTCTGAAGGTAATGTTACCACCGGTACCACTACCTACCCAGTCTCTCACACCAGTGAAGAAGAAGTCACCACTTCTACTTACACTTCCACCGACTCTGAAGGTAATGTTACCACCGGTACCACTACCTACCCAGTCTCTCACACCAGTGAAGAAGAAGTCACCACTTCTACTTACACTTCCACCGACTCTGAAGGTAATGTTACCACCGGTACCACTACCTACCCAGTCTCTCACACCAGTGAAGAAGAATTGACTACTTCTACTTACACTTCCACCGACTCTGAAGGTAATGTTACCACCGGTACCACTACCTACCCAGTCTCTCACACCAGTGAAGAAGAATTGACTACTTCTACTTACACTTCCACCGACTCTGAAGGTAATGTTACCACCGGTACCACTACCTACCCAGTCTCTCACACCAGTGAAGAAGAATTGACTACTTCTACTTACACTTCCACCGACTCTGAAGGTAATGTTACCACCGGTACCACTACCTACCCAGTCTCTCACACCAGTGAAGAAGAAGTCACCACTTCTACTTACACTTCCACCGACTCTGAAGGTAATGTTACCACCGGTACCACTACCTACCCAGTCTCTCACACTTCTGAAGAAGAAGTCACCACTTCTACTTACACTTCCACTGACTCTGAAGGTAATGTTACCACCGGTACCACTACCTACCCAGTCTCTCACACCAGTGAAGAAGAATTGACTACTTCTACTTACACTTCCACCGACTCTGAAGGTAATGTTACCACCGGTACCACTACCTACCCAGTCTCTCACACCAGTGAAGAAGAATTGACTACTTCTACTTACACTTCCACCGACTCTGAAGGTAATGTTACCACCGGTACCACTACCTACCCAGTCTCCCACACCAGTGAAGAAGAAGTCACCACTTCTACTTACACTTCCACCGACTCTGAAGGTAATGTTACCACCGGTACCACTACCTACCCAGTCTCTCACACCAGTGAAGAAGAATTGACTACTTCTACTTACACTTCCACCGACTCTGAAGGTAATGTTACCACCGGTACCACCACCTACCCAGTCTCTCACACTTCTGAAGAAGAATTGACTACTTCTACTTACACTTCCACCGACTCTGAAGGTAATGTTACCACCGGTACTACTACCTACCCAGTCTCTCACACTTCTGAAGAAGAAGTCACCACTTCTACCTACACTTCCACTGACTCTGAAGGTAATGTTACCACCGGTACCACCACCTACCCAGTCTCTCACACCAGTGAAGAAGAAGTCACCACTTCTACTTACACTTCCACCGACTCTGAAGGTAATGTTACCACCGGTACTACTACCTACCCAGTCTCCCACACCAGTGAAGAAGAATTGACTACTTCTACTTACACTTCCACCGACTCTGAAGGTAATGTTACCACCGGTACTACTACCTACCCAGTCTCCCACACCAGTGAAGAAGAATTGACTACTTCTACTTACACTTCCACCGACTCTGAAGGTAATGTTACCACCGGTACCACCACCTACCCAGTCTCTCACACTTCTGAAGAAGAAGTCACCACTTCTACTTACACTTCCACCGACTCTGAAGGTAATGTTACCACCGGTACTACTACCTACCCAGTCTCCCACACCAGTGAAGAAGAATTGACTACTTCTACTTACACTTCCACCGACTCTGAAGGTAATGTTACCACCGGTACCACCACCTACCCAGTCTCCCACACCAGTGAAGAAGAATTGACTACTTCTACTTACACTTCCACCGACTCTGAAGGTAATGTTACCACCGGTACTACTACCTACCCAGTCTCCCACACTTCTGAAGAAGAAGTAACCACTTCTACTTACACTTCCACCGACTCTGAAGGTAATGTTACCACCGGTACCACCACCTACCCAGTCTCCCACACTTCTGAAGAAGAAGTCACCACTTCTACTTACACTTCCACCGACTCTGAAGGTAATGTTACCACCGGTACCACCACCTACCCAGTCTCTCACACCAGTGAAGAAGAATTGACTACTTCTACTTACACTTCCACCGACTCTGAAGGTAATGTTACCACCGGTACCACCACCTACCCAGTCTCTCACACCAGTGAAGAAGAATTGGCTACTTCTACCTACACTTCCACCGACTCTGAAGGTAATGTTACCACCGGTACCACCACCTACCCAGTCTCCCACACCACTGAAGAAGAATTGACTACTTCTACTTACACTTCCACCGACTCTGAAGGTAATGTTACCACCGGTACCACTACCTACCCAGTCTCCCACACCACTGAAGAAGAATTGACTACTTCTACTTACACTTCCACCGACTCTGAAGGTAATGTTACCACCGGTACCACTACCTACCCAGTCTCCCACACCAGTGAAGAAGAATTGACTACTTCTACTTACACTTCCACCGACTCTGAAGGTAATGTTACCACCGGTACCACTACCTACCCAGTCTCCCACACCACTGAAGAAGAATTGACTACTTCTACTTACACTTCCACCGACTCTGAAGGTAATGTTACCACCGGTACCACTACCTACCCAGTCTCCCACACCAGTGAAGAAGAATTGACTACTTCTACTTACACTTCCACCGACTCTGAAGGTAATGTTACCACCGGTACCACTACCTACCCAGTCTCCCACACCAGTGAAGAAGAATTGACTACTTCTACTTACACTTCCACCGACTCTGAAGGTAATGTTACCACCGGTACCACTACCTACCCAGTCTCCCACACCACTGAAGAAGAATTGACTACTTCTACTTACACTTCCACCGACTCTGAAGGTAATGTTACCACCGGTACCACTACCTACCCAGTCTCCCACACCACTGAAGAAGAATTGACTACTTCTACTTACACTTCCACCGACTCTGAAGGTAATGTTACCACCGGTACCACTACCTACCCAGTCTCCCACACCACTGAAGAAGAATTGACTACTTCTACTTACACTTCCACCGACTCTGAAGGTAATGTTACCACCGGTACCACTACCTACCCAGTCTCCCACACCACTGAAGAAGAATTGACTACTTCTACTTACACTTCCACCGACTCTGAAGGTAATGTTACCACCGGTACCACTACCTACCCAGTCTCCCACACCACTGAAGAAGAATTGACTACTTCTACTTACACTTCCACCGACTCTGAAGGTAATGTTACCACCGGTACCACTACCTACCCAGTCTCCCACACCACTGAAGAAGAATTGACTACTTCTACTTACACTTCCACCGACTCTGAAGGTAATGTTACCACCGGTACCACTACCTACCCAGTCTCCCACACCACTGAAGAAGAATTGACTACTTCTACTTACACTTCCACCGACTCTGAAGGTAATGTTACCACCGGTACCACTACCTACCCAGTCTCTCACACCAGTGAAGAAGAATTGACTACTTCTACTTACACTTCCACCGACTCTGAAGGTAATGTTACCACCGGTACCACTACCTACCCAGTCTCTCACACCAGTGAAGAAGAATTGACTACTTCTACTTACACTTCCACTGACTCTGAAGGTAATGTTACCACTGGTACCACTACCTACCCAGTCTCTCACACCAGTGAAGAAGAAGTCACCACTTCTACTTACACTTCCACTGACTCTGAAGGTAATGTTACCACCGGAACCACTACCTACCCAGTCTCTCACACCAGTGAAGAAGAATTGACTACTTCTACTTACATTTCCACCGACTCTGAAGGTAATGTTACCACCGGTACCACTACCTACCCAGTCTCTCACACCAGTGAAGAAGAATTGACTACTTCTACTTACACTTCCACTGACTCTGAAGGTAATGTTACCACCGGTACCACTACCTACCCAGTCTCTCACACCAGTGAAGAAGAATTGACTACTTCTACTTACACTTCCACCGACTCTGAAGGTAATGTTACCACCGGTACCACTACCTACCCAGTCTCTCACACTTCTGAAGAAGAAGTCACCACTTCTACTTACACTTCCACCGACTCTGAAGGTAATGTTACAACCGGTACCACTACCTACCCAGTCTCTCACACCAGTGAAGAAGAATTGACTACTTCTACTTACACTTCCACCGACTCTGAAGGTAATGTTACCACCGGAACCACTACCTACCCAGTCTCTCACACCAGTGAAGAAGAATTGACTACTTCTACTTACACTTCCACCGACTCTGAAGGTAATGTTACCACCGGTACCACTACCTACCCAGTCTCTCACACCAGTGAAGAAGAATTGACTACTTCTACTTACACTTCCACCGACTCTGAAGGTAATGTTACCACCGGTACCACTACCTACCCAGTCTCTCACACCAGTGAAGAAGAATTGACTACTTCTACTTACACTTCCACCGACTCTGAAGGTAATGTTACCACCGGTACCACTACCTACCCAGTCTCTCACACTTCTGAAGAAGAATTGACTACTTCTACTTACACTTCCACCGACTCTGAAGGTAATGTTACCACCGGTACCACTACCTACCCAGTCTCTCACACCAGTGAAGAAGAAGTCACCACTTCTACTTACACTTCCACCGACTCTGAAGGTAATGTTACCACCGGTACCACTACCTACCCAGTCTCTCACACCAGTGAAGAAGAATTGACTACTTCTACTTACACTTCCACCGACTCTGAAGGTAATGTTACCACCGGTACCACTACCTACCCAGTCTCTCACACCAGTGAAGAAGAATTGACTACTTCTACTTACACTTCCACCGACTCTGAAGGTAATGTTACCACCGGTACCACTACCTACCCAGTCTCTCACACCAGTGAAGAAGAATTGACTACTTCTACTTACACTTCCACCGACTCTGAAGGTAATGTTACCACCGGTACCACTACCTACCCAGTCTCTCACACTTCTGAAGAAGAAGTCACCACTTCTACTTACACTTCCACCGACTCTGAAGGTAATGTTACCACCGGTACCACTACCTACCCAGTCTCTCACACCAGTGAAGAAGAATTGACTACTTCTACTTACACTTCCACCGACTCTGAAGGTAATGTTACCACCGGTACCACTACCTACCCAGTCTCTCACACTTCTGAAGAAGAAGTCACCACTTCTACTTACACTTCCACCGACTCTGAAGGTAATGTTACCACCGGTACCACTACCTACCCAGTCTCTCACACCAGTGAAGAAGAATTGACTACTTCTACTTACACTTCCACTGACTCTGAAGGTAATGTTACCACCGGTACCACTACCTACCCAGTCTCTCACACCAGTGAAGAAGAATTGACTACTTCTACTTACACTTCCACTGACTCTGAAGGTAATGTTACCACCGGTACCACTACCTACCCAGTCTCTCACACCAGTGAAGAAGAAGTCACCACTTCTACTTACACTTCCACCGACTCTGAAGGTAATGTTACCACCGGTACCACTACCTACCCAGTCTCTCACACCAGTGAAGAAGAATTGACTACTTCTACTTACACTTCCACCGACTCTGAAGGTAATGTTACCACCGGTACCACTACCTACCCAGTCTCTCACACCAGTGAAGAAGAATTGACTACTTCTACTTACACTTCCACCGACTCTGAAGGTAATGTTACCACCGGTACCACTACCTACCCAGTCTCTCACACCAGTGAAGAAGAATTGACTACTTCTACTTACACTTCCACCGACTCTGAAGGTAATGTTACCACCGGTACCACTACCTACCCAGTCTCTCACACTTCTGAAGAAGAAGTCACCACTTCTACTTACACTTCCACCGACTCTGAAGGTAATGTTACCACCGGTACCACTACCTACCCAGTCTCTCACACCAGTGAAGAAGAATTGACTACTTCTACTTACACTTCCACCGACTCTGAAGGTAATGTTACCACCGGTACCACTACCTACCCAGTCTCTCACACCAGTGAAGAAGAAGTCACCACTTCTACTTACACTTCCACCGACTCTGAAGGTAATGTTACCACCGGTACCACTACCTACCCAGTCTCTCACACCAGTGAAGAAGAATTGACTACTTCTACTTACACTTCCACCGACTCTGAAGGTAATGTTACCACCGGTACCACTACCTACCCAGTCTCTCACACCAGTGAAGAAGAAGTCACCACTTCTACTTACACTTCCACTGACTCTGAAGGTAATGTTACCACCGGTACCACTACCTACCCAGTCTCTCACACCAGTGAAGAAGAAGTCACCACTTCTACTTACACTTCCACCGACTCTGAAGGTAATGTTACCACCGGTACCACTACCTACCCAGTCTCTCACACCAGTGAAGAAGAAGTCACCACTTCTACTTACACTTCCACCGACTCTGAAGGTAATGTTACCACTGGTACCACTACCTACCCAGTCTCTCACACCAGTGAAGAAGAAGTGACTACTTCTACTTACACTTCTACCGACTCTGAAGGCAATGTTACCACCGGTACCACTACCTACCCAGTCTCTCACACCAGTGAAGAAGAAGTCACCACTTCTACTTACACTTCCACCGACTCTGAAGGTAATGTTACCACCGGTACCACTACCTACCCAGTCTCTCACACCAGTGAAGAAGAATTGACTACTTCTACTTACACTTCCACTGACTCTGAAGGTAATGTTACCACCGGTACCACTACCTACCCAGTCTCTCACACCAGTGAAGAAGAAGTCACCACTTCTACTTACACTTCCACCGACTCTGAAGGTAATGTTACCACTGGTACCACTACCTACCCAGTCTCTCACACTTCTGAAGAAGAAGTCACCACTTCTACTTACACTTCCACCGACTCTGAAGGTAATGTTACAACCGGTACCACTACCTACCCAGTCTCTCACACCAGTGAAGAAGAAGTCACCACTTCTACTTACACTTCCACCGACTCTGAAGGTAATGTTACCACCGGTACCACTACCTACCCAGTCTCTCACACCAGTGAAGAAGAATTGACTACTTCTACTTACACTACCACCGACTCTGAAGGTAATGTTACCACCGGTACCACTACCTACCCAGTCTCTCACACCAGTGAAGAAGAATTGACTACTTCTACTTACACTTCCACCGACTCTGAAGGTAATGTTACCACCGGTACCACTACCTACCCAGTCTCTCACACTTCTGAAGAAGAATTGACTACTTCTACTTACACTTCCACCGACTCTGAAGGTAATGTTACCACCGGTACCACTACCTACCCAGTCTCTCACACCAGTGAAGAAGAATTGACTACTTCTACTTACACTTCCACTGACTCTGAAGGTAATGTTACCACCGGTACCACTACCTACCCAGTCTCTCACACTTCTGAAGAAGAATTGACTACTTCTACTTACACTTCCACTGACTCTGAAGGTAATGTTACCACCGGTACCACTACCTACCCAGTCTCTCACACCAGTGAAGAAGAAGTCACCACTTCTACTTACACTTCTACCGATTCTGAAGGTAATGTTACCACCGGTACCACTACCTAC